TGCCGAACGGGACGCGTGAGCTGTGTGAAACACTCGGGACCGCGGATTTCTGGGCGGGGGTGAAGTGGTTACGTGCCCCAGGCCCAAGCTTTAGGAGATGAGGAAGAATCTAAGAAATAAAAGAAATTTAAAAAAAAGAAAATACCTGTAAATTCGAGCAGAGCCCTTGGTACCCTCAGACAGTGTAGGGCAGCCAGCAGGGTTCCGGACACCGCCGGGGGCTCACAGGCCACCTGTCACCTAAAGTTCAAGGTGTGAAACACCAGAGGCACAGCTGACACTCCTTTTTTTGGCCGTGTATAAGTACTGAGTGTGTTGGTTGGTTGGTGTCATGCACAAAACCATGCTTTCAAACCTCCTCACTCTCTTCTGCTCTCGCTGAAAAAAAAATATGGTAAAGAAGGAAAAAAGAAATGATACTTTTCTGCATATGGATAGATTTATTCTACCTGTTGAAGGTGTGGAGTGTGAATCAGCCTAGCTCCTGAAACAAGTTTAAAATCTCACGTGAAGTAAATGCAGTTGATTACAAGAAAATTATTTATGCCTGCAATTGGTTAGCAAATATTAAAATTAACAAGAAAGGATAAAAAGGAATTAGTAATTGGAAATACCAACCTGACTTGCCATATGCTAGATTAATAAAAATCCTTTAATAACACCAGGAGGTTTTTAATTAGTTAAATAACCCTTTCATAATCTAGTCAGCTCTTAATTTCCTAAAAATATACTCACATATTGTAACTGATTGTTACTGCTTTATCATTTCATCAAAGGAGATCTTGTGTAGTCTGTTTATTTCAGGAAATATGCAGAGCCTTTTAGAATACTTCCTCTGGAATATAAAATGTATTATACTGAGTATAATAATCTCTTAAGATAAATGAATTAAAAGGATAAAGCATCATGTTTTACGTAACTAATCATACTCCATTTAATGACTGGCTTTACTGCTCTAACTATGTTCTTATTTGCAGAAGAGTCTACAGCTGTAGTGAAGAAGAGGAAGCCGCTTACCAGACTGAATATTCATTCTGCATTCTGGATTTTGGCATCAATTTCTGTGACATACTACTTCGATTTTTTAAAAACTGTTAAAGAGACTATTCAAGCAGATAGGTAAGGTAGCTTTTCTTGCAAAAGAAGTTGTGTTCTTATCTTCATCATACTTATTTTGTTACATCTGAACACTGTGTTTTAAATCCTGGATAAACAAAATCTACAACAGGAATAGAGAACTGAGACTGCGGCAGAAGAGAAGGCTCAGGAGAGGTCTTATCTGGTATACAAATACCTGAAGGGAGGGTGCATAGAGGACAGATCCAGGCTTTCTTTAGTGGTGCCCAGTGAAAGGACTGGGAGCAGTGAGCACAAACCAAAACACAGGAACCTCTGTCTGAACATTGGGGGACATTTTACTGTGATGGTGACCAGACACTGGCAGTTTGCCCAAGGGAGTTAATGGAGTCTCCATCGTTGGAGATGCTCAGAAGCCATCTGGACGTGATCCTGAGCAACTGGCTCTAGATGACCATGCCTGAGCAGGGAGGTTGGACCAGATGACGACCTAAGTTGTTATTATTAAACTATTTTTTAAGTAAATACAGTGCTTAGAATTTTGCTTTTTTTTTTGGTTCTCTAGGCTCCACTGGGCCATCTGTGTACATGCAAAATTTTCTTCTAATAGGATATTATAGTAGTGTACCTTTAAGGTTGTGCTGAAGTACAAGAAATCACTACCTGTTTTGTCCAAACTCTTGGGGTTTTGGTTTTATTTTAATTAGAAAAAGCTGGAAGTTATCTTTAAATGTAAAAATGAAGGTAATTTCTCTAGAAGTTCTCTAGACTTTTTCATGTAGGTCAGTGAAAAATTACTGAAATAATTTCTATGAAGTGATTTCTATTCTGTTTCTTTTCTATTAAATTATTTTCAGTGGGATTGAGGAGTGTTAGGTGTTAGGATAGCTTCACCTGGAATTGCTTTTAAAACTCTCTCAAGGTCATTATCGTTATTGTATCAGTATGTGGAAGCTGAAGAGGGCCTCACTCTCTCCTGTGAGGTTCTCTGGGACTGCTCTTCCAGACTGCTCTAGATACACCCTATGTCCAGTTGGCTGTGGATACAAACCAGTGACTCCAGGATGCGATCCAGTTTTTGGGTAGCCCCATCTGCTTCCTGCAGGACTGTCTTCCTGCATTCCTTGTTTAGGTATACAATGGCAGCTGCTTTCTTAATGCAGATTTCTTAATTGTAGTACTGAGGTACCAGAATAGCACAGGGTATTTGCTGTACCATACCAGAGCAAATGTTACCTCAGTAGGTGATTACCCTTCATAATTTAGCAATCAAACTATGGTAATAAGAATTCACTTTTAAAAATTTTTATTTGCTAAATACACATTCAGATAAATCAAGATTTTATTAAAGTGCACCTTCCTCCCAAGTTCTCTCTCCCATCTTCTCTTGAAGTATGTGGTCAAAGAGACTCAAAAGTGTGTCTTCCTAAGTAATCACGTAGCCTGTATTTTCTCAAGTGCAAATTTGAAATCCTGGATTTCTCTATGGTTGTCTTCAGTTTCTGTAAAGAAAAATCTTCATGCTTCTTGTCTGTTAAATTCGAGAGTTCATAAACTTGAAACTTTCTTAAAGCTTTCTACACTTCTGTTGCACGAAAATCAGCAGTCTAATTTACAGCAAGAAGTACAGTTGCAGTGGAGACTATTTTATTTCATTACTGATGAAATATTTTTGGTGTGGTAGTATAGCAGACAAAATCTTTTGCGTTGCATTGCATTGCACTCCCAAAATACTTGGGGGAAAAATAAATGACAGGAATGGTGCATTGCAAAATTAATCTCATTAGTTATGTAGATTAGACAGAAGGGCAAAAAGTGTTTTGTAAAAATAGTTTAAGGAAAATGCTGCAAGAGCTGCAGATCATTCTATCAATCGTCTGCTTTGGTTTTAGACTAGAATGAAGATTAATGTGCAAACTGCAGTGTGACTGTGTTTAGCATTTTTTAACATGCTTTTTCTCCCCACAGTTGGTGGTTTGCCTCTGGTAGCTGTTTATTTGCAGCGTGTTTATCTGTTGCCTCTTACTGCATACTGTATCTTGAGTGGTATTGTGGAATTGAGGACTACGATGCACGGTACCCAGCGCTGATACCGATCACAACAGCTACTTTCATTGCAGCAGCAGTTTGGTAAGTTCAGACACTGTGTACAAGCTTCTGCTAAACCTTTAAGTCTAGATCTATTAATGGTCTCATTTTATCAAAAGTATGATTTCTCTAATTCTGCTAAGTATATTGGTGATAATACAAGTTCTACATAGCATAATTTCTTCCACTTTCAATGTTCACCCACAAAGCAAGAGCTGGAATTGTCAAAACTTTATTAAGGGTACTTGTAGGTGTATTGGATCTTTTCCATCTTGCAAATGAAGTCCTTAGCTTTGTTAGTGTAAAATGATCACCTCTGACAAGTCTTCTCAAGGTTTACAAATTATGAGAAAAGTGTATTCTCAAACTGAGAAAAAAATATGCCTGATCGGTTTGTAATACAGAGTTTTTCATTATAAAAAATTCTATAAATAGCAAACATGCTGAAATTTTTACTTATAGCTGTTATAGGAACTTTAAGGGCTTATATCTTGTCAGAGAATGGTAGTTATAGTATTAGCTACTTTATTTATGAGATTATAGGAGTTAGAATTGAGCAAATGTGCACGTGAATGAAAAAATAATGTATGCATGTGCCAGTATATTTGTTTGGTCTCTGCATGAAAGCTGGTTCTCTCTTTAGGTTTAGTTGTATCAGAATAATGTCAGTCAGTATTCGTTGCAATGCTGGAAGACTGAAGGAGGTAAAGGTTCTTTATAGTTTAGAATTAGTCAAATCTGTAATCTTTGTAATTCAGTTGTAAAATAAGTTGGGTTTCACCCTTTCTCTTCATTTAACTCAAATCTCTTTGGCTGGAAGTACAAAACAAGGCTTTTCTCAGTTGCCATGTATGCCCATGGAAAAAATGAGAGTAGTTTGTTTTCAGGTACTTCATATATGGAGATTCTGAAAGTAAAAAATATTTTTATTCTGATAGGACTGAGTGGACTTGCTCAGTGTAAAATCTGCAGCACCTACTGAAGTTCCAAGATGAGTTATCAGTAAATAAAAAAAGTAAACAAACTATCAATTTAATTAGTAGGTGCTGGGGTTTGTTCATTTTTTTTTCTCACAAGTCATAAAGAAAGAGGTAATTTTCAGGCTGAGTAGTTTGAATCTTGTTTCCTCTTGTGCCATATTTGTTTTGGGTGACTGGTATATCCGTAGTATGACAATTGAACTTACTAAATTCTTCCTGCTTTTGTTCTCAGTTTCAACATTGCCTTGTGGCCTATCTGGTCGTTTATGACACCTCTGTTGCTCTTCATTCAGTTCATGGGTTTTGTGATGCTTGTGTCACTCCTGGGATAAGTCCTTCAGGTAAATAATTGAATTGTTTAAGCACATAAAAATATTTCTCTCGTTGCATGAACTGCTTTGTTGGACATTCAAGGACTGCAAGACCATTTAAGAATTCCTTCTCTATGTTTTGTGTACACTTTTAGTGTATTGACATTTTGTGGCATATAGAGTAACTGGAGAACACATAAGTATCCTGAGGGGGACCTTTCTCTCTTCTCTAAGATCTCATTCTAGAGGGTGAAAAGAAACGATTAGTGAGAATGGATGGTTTGGGGGAGTACAGGTCACATACCTGCAGCTTTATCCAGACTGGGAAAACTTCTTCGTGAAGTTGCTTGACCCAGTAGTAAAGGGGAGAAGCTGTTAACATCCATATGCAATTGCCTTCTTTTTTTTTTTAAAATTCAAATTCTTTGTCTTTAAATATGTTGTGTTCATTTTCTGAGATGAACAGTCCAGATCAGCCCACTATCTGGAAAACAGCCAGATACCAGAAGTAATTTGTTCTTCCTAAAAAACAAGCTTTCAAAGGCAAAACCACATATTCTGTTGACTTGAAAAATTAATTCTCAATAACTGCCACTTAAAGAGATTCTCACATCTTTTGTTAGAATATACTATTCAGATAAATCCTGTGAAACTGAAAAAGCTTAAGAAAATCATCAAAGACTGCTTGGTAAATAGGGTAAGGGATGTGCCCTGTGCCCCACATGTCTGCATCATCCAGTGAAGGTCTTGGTGGTGGTACTTCTCCAGGGAACATGAGGAAGCCTGTTTGGTTTTGCTTGCCATCACAAATTCTCTCCATTGAGGCAGTCTCCCAGCATTTTTATGAATGCAGCAAGAAGAATGACACAGTGATGGATTTTTCAGTGTAGCTTCTTGTAGTGCAAGAGTTGTAGGCAAAAAATATTTAATGTCTGGAACAGTGAAAAACAGCTTATGTTTGCATAAACAAACTGAAACTAGTGTTGCATTCCCCCCTTATTTTTTAGATATCAAGAAACCTGATATTTTAAGGAGGTAATTATCTTAGGGCCTGCTCTAACAACACCTACAGACTTCTGAAAAATACAATACTTAGTTTGGAACCTCTCTGCTGTATTATGGGAGCGTAATTGTGGGAGCTGGTTAATGCAGACTTCTTCAAATAATGTTTGTTCATTCTGCCATTGACTATGTTCTGTGTGAGCCCTGGAAGGATCTTGGGAAAGGATGCATTTCAGTGTAGTAGAGCTGTTGTATTAACAGACTAAAACAATGAAGGTACTTAGAAGGTAAGAAGTACAGTTGAATTACAGGTATCCTGAACAGCTGAACGTTAGGAAAACATCTTGGTTTTCTACATGAACAGCCAAGTAAATTCTTTTATACAGAACTTATTAATTCTGTATTGGGCCAAATTATCTCTTGGTAATGCAAAATCATTAAGTACTCATTGTCCAAATACTGCAAGGTACAGCTTGTGCAGTATATACAACATTTTTGTTAAAGTTGGATTTGTGTTTTTTTTCTTTCAGATTCATGTGAAGGACTTAAGTAACTGTTATCCTGCAAAGTGAATGTCACTTTTATTACATTCCAGTACTTTTATTTTTTTATAATACTGCTTGTTTGCTTTAAACTGATACTTTAATTCTTAGACCACCTGATTTATAACTCAAATGGACATAACTATAGGTTATCCAGTGGCTGGAAAAAAGCAACAGATAGTGAATAATTGGAAGATAGATATGTCATACCTCTCTTAGTAACACAAAGCATTTCACCACTGCTTTGTAAAGGTTTTATTTGTAATTCAGTACTGAGCAGATGGGTAAAAAGTCCTAAATGGTCCTAAAATGGTCCTAAATCCTGCTGGCAGACTCTCGAGGACGCTTAGTCCAACTTCCTGCTTAAAGCAGGTTGGTTGGCTTGAAAGTAATTGATACTTCATTCAAGTGTTGTCTTTCATACTATATTCTTTTGATTTGAATTGACAGCTAAAATACTGTTAGCTGGAATCCAGGTTTCTACTTGTAAACTTACTCATCTATGACACAGGAGACATTTCTCGATATATTAAATTTCTAATGTTATGTGTGTTACCACGTAGGAAATACTTTCTTACCTAATGTTCTGACTGCAGATCTGCTAGTGTTTGAAAAAGATACATATCGGGGTAAGGGCCTAGGAAGCTGGTGGATGTTTACATCTTTGTTAATTTGGCAATGCCATCAGTGAAATAATTCCTTTCAACTTGTGCTGATATAGTTTGTCCACAGCCAAAGATGGGTGATCAAGCTGCAAATAACCAGCAATATAATGAACAATATTAACACTATACAAGAAATTAAGAGCACAAAGAGAATTTTTTGTTGTATGCACTATTTTTCAGTATTCAGGGTATTTCTCTTCTATAAATTAACTTCTCATTCATAGCAGTGCCTGTTGGTGAAGTTGCCATTTTTCTTCCTCAGCAATAAAGAGGCTGATACTAAGTGAAATGCAATTAGTCTTACACAGTTGGGAAAATAACATTGTCTGTCAGTTCACCTTGGCTGAGATCCTTCAGTATCTGGAAACCTGAGCACCATCTAGTTTCTGGTCCATTTTATATCATATAATTTCTAAACCATTTTATATAGACCTTTATGTTAAATACTTTGACACCTGCGCCTTTTGGAAGATAGGAGAATGTAGAAGCTGGGTAATTGAAACTTGTTAAAATTTACTCCTTGTGCCTGAAGTCTGGCCTGTTTGAGGAGGCTGTTCTTCATTCTGACTTTAAAATTCATACCACTGCTGAATACACAGTACATGAAGTGCTTAGTAATGAAAAAGATGGGCCTTGTCTTAAGCCACTGCTGTTCTTTTAAGAAAAAAGTTGCTATCGGTATGCAGTAAAAAAGATCAGTCAAACCAAAATAAAATACATTTAGTGCTACTCTTAAGTAGCTTCTGGATTACATTAATAGCTTAATTTGTTTAAATGTAATATTTAAGATTTCCAAAAGCAGTTGTGCTTGTTGCTTGTCTGCAGGTCTTCGTCTTTTAACAAATATTAACAATTTTACGTATGCATACACAGGTACATTTGAGTAACTTTTTAAAAATTGTAATATTTAAAATGTCGTGTTGCTCAGGGATGGTAATTATCACTGGATTTTTATTTGTCAATTATATAAATGCTCTAGGTGTTTTAAGTTGCCTTGTACTCTTGAATTAAAATTACTATTTGCTACATGGTTTTTCAGATTTATTCTTCTGGACATCTTAATAAACTTTGTATAAAAGTATTCAGAAATTCCTCAGTATTGAGTTGTTTAACTGTCTAATTCCACTGTTTGTCGTGACTGCCAACCCATCATTTTGCCTATAAAATAGATATTAATGTAGATTTTAAATATTCTACTTGACCTGGAGTATATTTGTCTTTCATGGCCCCTCAGTTGGGTTGACTGAAGTTGTAATTCCATTCTGTTCACCTTTGGAGAGCTGTTTTGTTTATTCTGATGTCTTTCTGTAAACAGTGCCTGGTACAAAAGTCCTGCGAAGCCTTTCAGTAACGGTTACGAGTATCCAGTGCAATACTCAGCCACTTAGATGCTCCAAGGGAAGTAGTGGTGAATGTGGTAAGAATTTTAAACAATGTTTGCTATAATTAGCAACCTGACAAAATGCTGCTGCCACTTCTTGTTCTTGTGATTTTCCTTACCACCAAATAAAGGGCTTGTGTCAAGAGAGTAGAAAGAGGAATCTTAATATTTTCATGAAAACAAGTATTAGTGAAATCAAAATCCCTACCCCTGCCAAAGCTTGAAGGTATTAGCTGGCCACAGACCACCAGAGGTGTTTTCTCTATCCATTTACATTAATTTCATCTGAGGATGACAATCTGTGCCAGCACCAAAGAGCTTCACAGGTGATAAGGCATGCTTTACAATAATCTTGAAATAAAACAGTCCACATAGTGAAGATTATTCATCAGTTACCCATAGAAGGTCTGTGTGATGAAAGCATCTTCCTTAGTCATTCTTTAAAGGTTATATTACACAAGATAAAAGTAGGACTTGGCATTTCCATAAGGTTTCGATAATGATGGATATAACTCTGAGCTAGAGGTGGCCGAAGCCTTAACTGTTGCATTATTTATGCCTTTTATTTATAGTGCCATTATGGGCCAGGCAGAAGCACAGGGCTAGCTTTCAGTTACGTGCATTTTTCAAGAGGAAAATCTGTAGACGGCTTAAGATACCTTCTTTTTGAGAACAGGCCAAAATGCATAAAGGACATGGACTACTTCTTCCTTATGCTTACCTAAATAGGTGATTGTCCAGAATTTACTTATTCTGCATTTCTGCCATTTTTTCTTCCCTGTTCTTTAAGAAGAATGTGAACCTCAGAAGTTTACATACAAGTTTAGAAATGCACTTTATTATTTAAGAAAAAGCCCTCTTTAATAATTTCAGAAGAGAAAAAGCTTAAAACCTCTCAAGTTTTGCATGTGGAAGCTCAGCAAAATAGATGCTATCTTTTAATTTATTCAATTTTTTGATGTAGCTGATGTAAGATATAGGTCACTCACTGTGAAAAAGACTACTTTGGATATTTGATACGCTATCAACTGATGTAGGGTAAAAAGGTAAGACCTGCCTGGCCAGAACAAGGACTAGTCTATCTCGGTATTTGGCCCCCAAGCTATGGCTAGGTACCTGAATACCTAGAATTAAGAGAATTCATATTGCATGCAAACAAAATACCATTTAAAATATTTAGTGCTTTATACTGGGCTAAATTCCTCACAACCCCTATAGGCAACCAAGTGGTGCTTCAAATCTTGAGATTTGCATACCTTAGTATCTTATGGCTGTGACATAGGTCACAGTTACAACTAAGCAGTTTAAATAAAAAAAGTCAGTACTTCAAATCTGTATGAAAATTGGGAAAATCTAAGTAAGTGGACTAAATCCTACAGAAGTCTTGATACTTTGAGCTCAGTGGTTCCTACTTCAGCTAGCAATCACTGT